TATATATATACTTCTAGGTGGTCGGAAATGGCACTGTCAGACTCAAAATTTGAGGGTAATTTTCTTATATTTCTCATTTAATTTTTAATTTCGGTAAAATTTAGGGCGACTCATGGTTGATATTTCAATAATAAGATTATGGACAAAAGATGATTGTGGGATCTTGGAATTCGATATAGACAGGAAGGGGGGGGGGGATGCAGACAGCAAATTTTACAGATAGAAGAATTAACGCTTCATCAGCCGCACTATGGTTGGGTCTGGGTGTGAGGTACGAAACTTTTATGTTTATGGCACTTCTAGATGGCCAGAAATGAAACTGTCAGACTCAAAATTGAAATATTGAAATTATTTTCTCAAATTAAGGGCTCTCTCCTGATTTTTGAAATTTATTTAATATCCAGGTAAAAGCAATACAAGGGAAAACATTAAAACAATATGTACATTACCTGAGGAACTCCTATACTAAACATCTTTACATAAAAACTAATTTAAAAGATTCTATCAGATCACCAATAAAATATTGGAATTAAAATACAATGCCAGTTAAAACAATTTACAGTAAACTAAGTCATGCGTATTTCATTGTTGTCAAAGCGTGATCACACTGTTGTAAAACAAGAAAAATAATGGAATCATGAACAAGTTGTTCTAATAATGTAGCGAACCCCCAATTTTTACGCGGACTCCCAAATTTGTCGCGGATCCCTTTGACTTGACGGACACCTAATTATTTTTCGCGGAACCCAGGTTGGGAACCTCTGCATTAGAGAATCAAGATCTTTTATACAATGTTAAAATCACTCATTTTTGCGCATTGAATTTTAATCCACAATCAGAGGTGTTCTTATATTGCATTATAAAGATATAAAATTTGATAGATTGAAGGGTTAGACCTATAATACCTATTATAGTTGCCAATGTCAAAACCATTATTTGCGCATTAAATAATAGGCCTACATGGATGCATTATACGTGAGATTTGGCAGGTGTAGTATTTATCTTTATATTATACTGCGCAATATAATTTAAAATTGTTAGTAGTGTTAAAATAATCAATTATGCATGCAGTATAATAATAGTATGATAATTTTGATCGATATTGTATTTTGTGTATATTGAATTGTATTGTTGTTTTTTTTTGTTTTTTTTTATTGTTTTGACGTTTTAGTGTATTGAATTTTTCACCCAATTATTTTTCGCGGACCCCAGGTTGGGAACCTCTGCATTAGAGAATCAAGATCTTTTATACAATGTTGTCAATGTTAAAATCACTCATTTTTGTGCATTGAATTTTAATCCACAATCAGAGGTGTTCTTATATTGCATTATAAAGATATAAAATTTGATCTATTATACCTATTATAGTTGTCAATGTCAAAACCATTATTTTTTGCCAGATGTCCTACAAATTAGTCTAAAGTTGTTTTTTGATGTAAGATATTGCCATTCTAGGCCTCTGTGGGTTATTTTTATTCTATCTAATGAGTATCTTTAAAAAAAACCCCTTTATTAAGGGCAAACAAACAATTTATTTTTTAGGCCTAATGAGGAGAAATCCTGTTAATCATTGTAAAGAATGTGAAGATAGGCTGTAGGGTAATAATAGTTGCAGAAGTATGAGACGTTGGTGTTATAAATTCAAATAGGCGTACTTAATGTCCTTGTAATTGTATTGTGAGCCTTGAGTAATTAGATACCGTAGGACCTCAGTGAAGTGCGTAGGCCTAATAGGTAAGCAATGAATTTCTGTTGTATAAAATTCATTATAAAATTAATCAGTTAAATTTGAATATTGGCGTATTGGCATTCAGATTCTGAATTGATGCTAGGGGCCTAGGCCATGGGGCTAGTAATTAGGCCAGGGGCCAGGCCTATAAGGTAGGCCTAGGTGCACAAATAATACTAGGTTAAGTAGGCCACGGCTTTGGAGATGTGGCGCACTGTTCGACTATTTTAAAATTCAGGTTGAGGTAAGAAAATTTGTGATTATGGCACCTCTAGATGGCCGGAAATTACACTCTTAGACTTAAAATTTGAATATAATTTGTCCTTATATCTCCATTAAAACAAAATTGAATTAGCCTCCCCCTCCTCTTGAACGCGCCTCAGATTTCCGAATAAAGTCGAAGTCGAGATTGCTACCACGACCTCAATGAATTATTTATTATGAGGGTTGTCCTTGATATGGGTTCCCCGACGAAAACTTCACTTTTCCCCCGATGAATAAAAATTACCCTTCTATGTAGCTCAGAAATGATATTCCAACTGTGGTATATATATATATATATATATATATAGGCCTATAGGCTATATAAACCATATATGTTAGTGTGAATAAGTAATAAAATCACCTTAGCACTTAAGCCGGTGGTTAAGAATTGCTTCTTATTATGTGACACGTACAAAGTAGTTGAAGGCACTATAGCAATACATTATCTCTTTATTTTAGCATTTAGACTGCCACTTTTTAAAGTAGGCCTATATTTTATATCATGTCTAAAGCTAAAGCTCAATAAAACGGGACAGGTATAAAACTTGAAACAAAACATAAAGTGTTTGTTTGAATGAAACAAACCTATGTTCTGAAACCCCCTCCCCCCAACCTATGTTTGGACGTTTATCTTTAACTCAGTAGGTAACCACTATCATTATGGGACACCCCTATTTAGGGGATGGGGACAAATTCTGACTGTGCCAAACGGTCATGTAATAGGCCTATGCAAGGACTTATAAATGATCAGAATAGAAAGCTCGCTGATTTCGCACTCTGCACGTTGTTGTCTTTAGGATAGTTCTGCACATGCTCTTGATTTAAGCGGCACCATTTAAACAATTTTATTAGAACTACAATAGATTCCGATAGCGTTTGCGTCAGGAAAAATAATACGAATGATATTTTTTTCTCTACCTGACGTATTATTGTACAGTATGCTAAAGTAATTCGGGTGGGAGTCGAACCCACAACCTTTGGATAACCAACGGCGGCGGAACGTTTTTGAAAGTGGGGCGAGCCATTTCATAAGGTCGAGTATGCGAGCATCTAGGCTGGGGGCCAGGGGGCCGCCAAGGACTCCGCCCCCTGGAAGCTACGGATATTACGTAGTTTGGTGAATTTTATAAATTATTTTATAGGCATCAAGCTACTGTAATATGTTTTCATATTTGTTGTAATTTCCATTAGCGGATCCAGGAATTCGAAATAGAAGGGCCCAGGGTGGGTATTTTCACAGATAGAAGATTCATACTACCTCAGCCCCACCATGGGGCTAAACAAATTTGTGATTACTGGCACCTCTAGATGGCCGGAAATTGCACTTCCAGACATAAAATTTGAATATAATTATCTTTATATATCCATTTATTTATTGAACAATTTAGGAGGGTGGGGACGGTCCGGCTGGGTCCCCTTGAATCCGCCACTGGGTACTTTAGCAGATGGAGAATCTATACCACCTCAGCCCCACCGTGGTTGGGGTTGAGGTAAGAAAATTTGTGATTATGGCACCTCTAGATGGCCGGAAATTACACTCTTAGACTTAAAATTTGAATATAATTTGTCCTTATATCTCCATTAAAACAAAATTGAATTAGCCTCCCCCTCCTCTTGAACGCGCCTCAGATTTCCGAATAAAGTCGAAGTCGAGATTGCTACCACGACCTCAATGAATTATTTATTATGAGGGTTGTCCTTGATATGGGTTCCCCGACGAAAACTTCACTTTTCCCCCGATGAATAAAAATTACCCTTCTATGTAGCTCAGAAATGATATTCCAACTGTGGCGGGTCCAGGAAGTCGAAATAGAGGGGTTCCAGGGAGAGTATTGTGTAAATAGAATGTCCACCCACCTCAGCCCCACAAATTTGTGATTATGGCACATCTAGATGGCCGGAAATGGCACTCTCAGATTAAAAGTTGAATACGATTTTGTTTGTTTTCTCCATTAAAAAAAAATAATTTTGAAAAAAAATTGGATGGGGTCCCGTGCTGACTGGATTTCCCCTTGAATCTGCCACTGTTCAATAGAACACTTAACATAGCCTACCATTTTGTTTCACAAATGATTAATTCCTAATGTCAAGCGAAAGATTTTTTTATTCGAATATTTTTTTTTACTCAATACAGTTCTTACAACCTACAACACATTAACTACAGTGTACTGTAAATTCTGTAGTTAACCTTCAGACAACTTTATTTAAAAAAGTGGCCTAATAAGTATCTTATTGTTTTCGTTAAATTAGAATTTAATAGTGGTTATATTACGCTAGTTTCACGGTTTACTGTAAGCCAATCAGTTACACTTACTATACATCTTCGTGGTTAGCATAAAGAGAACTAGAACGTCGCTCCATTAAGATTGCCTACCTCCCCCATATGACTAAATACAGAATTCTCGAATGCAGGCGATTTTTTCTGCATGCTCGAGGGTGGGTTTCAAGGAAACTTTATAGACGTCAATCAACATTTGGTTGCTCAACTCAAAAAGGGAACTTGTAATGTTCGTTAGAAAATGAAAAAAAAAATCTTTATTTTATAATAATAATAATAATAATAATAATAATAATAATAATAATCATAATAATAATACTAATAATAATAATAGGTCAATTTATAAGGCGCAAATAAACAAGGTGTAAGCACGAAATAACAATAATAATAGTAATAATAATAATAATATAATAATAATAAAAATGACATTGCAGCGTTCGTAAAATGTTTGTCACTGGTGCTGGAAACACAATATTATGTATTTTTTTTCAAACTTTTGAATATGATGATTTGATTCGGCGCTAGTGTTTATGTTAAACTTGTTTTTAAATTAACGTCAGCCTTCTGCTTTACAATATGCAGATCTTTACCAAATATAGGCTTAATTACCACAACACAATTTACGACAAATGACAGCATTGCTAAATAATTACATAACGATCACGTGATTGATCGCATAATTAGAAGACGGGTACTACGCTTTATTGTCCAAATATCGAGTATTTGCAAACATTTCACCATTTATACAAATCACAGTTGCGCACTACGCCTACTCGCCTCAAAATTGTGCTTAAATTCTATTCTTTGTAATAGAAAACTAAAATCAGAATAAAATAACGAGACAGAGCAGATGAACATAACTATACTGTATAGTATCGTCGGTGCAATCGGCTGTTCCACAAATGGCTTCGCTATATTCATTCTATTTCACTTGCAGAATCGGTTCAGTACAACAAACCTTCTGATTTTCAATCAGTGTATCATTGACTTTGTCACATCTTTGGTGTCGCTTTGTCTTTTTCTCGATCCCGACGTCATGACTCGGCTCCCAGAATCAATTACTGCTGCTGAATTTGTTTGCAAAATCTGGTCAAGCAAGTATATTTTCTGGTCAAGTATATTTTCTTCAACTGCTAATCTTGTAGTGCTTACCTTGGATCGTTACTTCGCAGTAATGTACCCACTAAAATACAAAATACTCAAGGAAAAGGTGAGGATGAAAGTATTGTTTTTGCTCATTCCCTGGATATGTGGCTTTGGATTCGTCCTCCTTTGGTTAGCGGCACACACTGTGAAAGATGGAGTGTGTATCCAGAGTTGGCCAAGTGTTGAATATCAGAAAGTATTTGGCTTACTGACTGGTACCTACATTCTTATTATTCCTTGCAGTGTAATGTTTTTTGTTTACTTTAACATTTTTCGTGTTCTACAACATCGTCCTGGAAATGATTTGAGTGCAGCGAGTGCGAATGCTGCGGCCAGACGACTAAACATTATCAAGACAATGGTTGTAGTTAGTGTGACGTATGTAATCTGCTGGACACCAAACCAAATAGCTTTTATCAACTTTACATTGGGTGGAAAGTTTAATTTTAATGGAACGCTATACTATATTACAGTAGCAATGTCACTGTGTAACATCTGTATCAATCCCATAATATACACTTTCAAATATCATGATTTTAGAGTGGGTTTGCGAAAGACTTTGCCATGTCTTAGACATATGTCTATATTATTCACAGCACAGGAAGCTATTCCGATGCGTCTACAACGTTCAACAACTCGTGCCTCAAACATTTAGCTGAGATCTTGTCGTAAATCATTTATTAACATTTTTTGATAACAATATTATTTTATAGACCTAGAGAATATAACATAATATTAAACTCTTTCATTTATTTTATTAAACGCATATTAGTTTATCTTGGCCTTTAACTTTGGTATCTTAATGGCATATATTATTCACAGCACAGGAAGCTATTCCGATGCGTCTACAATGTCCAACAACTCGTGCCTCAAACATTTAGCTGAGATCTTGTCGTAAATCATTTATTACCATTTTTTGATAACAATATTATTTTATAGACCTAGAGAATAGAACATAATATTAAACTCTTCCAATTTGTTTATTAAACGCATATTAGTTTATCTTGGCCATTAATGTTGGTATTTTAATGGCCATTATTTAGATGTCATTCTCGTTTGATGATTATCATGCTTGTCAAGCGTTTTAATGCATTTATATGAATCTGTTATACTATTTATACGACGTATTAATCCTTAATATACATTGTGCTAATAATAACCACATAATACAGTTGATATTTTGCATAAACTATTAATTTAGCAAGATGTTTCAGCGTTCCCTTTTTATAAAATATTTTGATAATGTAAATAAGATCATTACCAGCATTATTTCCAATAAAATCAGTGGCTGATTTAGGAATTCAAAATAGAATGGGCTCGGGGAGGTACTTTCACAGATGGAGGATACAACCTCATCCCCACCATGGTTGGGGCCTGGTAAGAAAATAATTTGTGATTATGGCACCTCTAGATGACCGGAAATTGCACTCTCAGACTTAAAATTTGAATATAATTTTCTTCATTCTGTATTCAATTTGAACAATTTAGGGGGTGGGGCAGCACCCCCGTCGGGGAGAGCTGCCCCCCCCCCCTCGTTGGGGAGAAAAAGCAAGATTCGTCGGGGAGAAAAAAATTATATGTATTTTCTACATATTAGTAGACTATAAAATCGATTAAATAAGCCTTTGAAACCCCTAAATTGTCAAAATTTTCGGGGGCTTCGCCCCCCTGGGACCATTTTCAATACTGTTTAATCGAAGCTCGACCACGCCCACTTTGCTTTCGTCGAGGAAATCTGACCCCTCGTCGGGGACCTCCGTCCTCCCGTCGGGCAAATCCTAGCCCAACCCCTGGCGAGCAAGCAAGAATCTCACGGAAAGTAAAATATCTCCCGCAAATTCACGATATTTGCATGTTTTAAACCAACCCTGCACACTCATTCAATCTGCAAATTTTGAAACACGATCTGGTGGTCCATTGCATCACACCTTTCGTAAGTTGCATTTCTTCTCCACTAATGATGATTTTTGTAAAGCCATAATCCAAAAATGTATCAATGTCAAAAGGCAAAATACTAAAAATAACAAAATTGCAGTGAGTAACAATCTTTCTTGAATAAACCTGTCTGTTTTGAATTTAAAGTGTTTCTTTATAATGTTTTGCTTCACCATAGCCC